GAGTGTATAGGTTATTAATTATTTTCAGTGCCAGTGGTTTTCCAGTTATAATTAAATTTCAACCTGCAACCTGTGACCTGCAAAATATACCGCTGCCCCTGCTGTGGGGGGGCCAATTTTGCGTACTAGACTGGTTTTCCCATAAAACCTCAATAGTCTGCATTAAGACACTGGACTGTGTTCTCCTCTTCGTCGAACGCAATAAATCAACGCAACTTTCATCCCAACCTTAAAGCCACCACCTTTGAGGACACTGAATGGTCTCATAACTTGCAAGTCTCCAATACCTATCACTCATAACAAGGGGAAAAATATTTTGAACTGATACTTTTAGGGATAAATGGCACTAAGCCATTAAACAAGAAAAATGGATTTCGATGGTTTTCAAGCTTTTTTGCCTCCTGGATGCAACATTTTGATTTCAAACATTCAAATAATTTTAACAGTGAGATCTCTATGAAGCTCTGCAAATTCAAAATTATTGATAAGAAGTGGTGGGGTGTGGGAATGCAGTCACAAGCAAGTCTTATAACTAAGACCCCACTTGCCCATCTAGTGTCTAGATATTTGATGTTAGTTTATCCTCCCAGACAATGTCGAGTTAACTTGACTTTAGGTTAATGAAACAATTTCTGGTACCATTAAAATGGCGTTCCTAACATGCAATACAGCCCTAACAACAGAACAATGAAAAGGCTTTTACAGGAAATCGGCAAGGTGTTTCCTGACGTTCACATAAATCGTAAAATCGCTTACCATTCATGCACATCTTCGAAGTTCCTTCACCACGAAAACCGCCTGAATATTAGATACAGCCTGGGTATTAGATTGTCACGCAATCTGGTCACAGAAGTGGTATGCGTGACCAGCTCCTTGTGCTGCTTTACGTCACAGTCTACAACAGTGAACCAACAAATCTAAATATCTGGGTAGAAAATTTCACAATAAGAGACGTAGATAAGCCGTTGAACTTCATCGCAAGAATTCTATACACATCTCAGTACATTTAATTGATGTGTGAGAGTTGCAGACTTGGCTCTGATCAGTGTGGAAGGATTCATTCGCAGCCAAATGTTACCTTTTTCTCACAGGGTTTTTTGCTGAAATGGTCCAGAACTAGGGTTAGAAAAGTTGGGTCTGACAACGAATGCCACTGTGTCTAATTTCCTTATTTATTCACTGACCGCAAAAATTTAGAGCACTAGCTTTGACCAAAATTAACCAAACAAGGAAACAATTAAAGAAAGATGTTCTTTCAGAACTGTAGCTGGTTGGACCACTGCTGCTCTGTAATAAAAAAAATATACAACGGGTCGGACTGCGCAGTGATTAATTAACAGGGAAGAGAAGGTTTCGGTTTATTTACCAGGCGGCTACGAGGTTCATTCGCTCACCATATTTCAACCTCTGTCATTTGATTTTAACTCTCTCCTGATCTTCTCACGATAGAGGTTGTAGAACGGGAGACCAAGTACAAGAATTAAGAACTTCTGGCCTAAGTTCCTGTCACGAGGCAGATTTTGAGTAGGGAGAAGATATCGATCTATTTGTGTACCTCTCCGTTTTGTTCCGTTTAGCTTTTTGTTCTACTCTCACCTCTCACTCTCAAAAGAAATAATCACCCATCTTAATGAAAGAAATTAACAGTTTAATTGTCACTTATTGTCGACAAAATTTATTTTGAACATCTTCAACATTTTTATAAAAACTATCACGATTCTTATTACAATAGTCAAACGTTGTCTTGAAAAAAAAGATTTTCAAGTCTTCAGAGTAGCCCTTAATGGCAGTTCAGTGTGTAATTCTGAAAATGTCTTCACATTATCAGTGCATTTCTGGCCGCTTAGAAACATTTGCGGTGGACAATGGAAGGGCCAGATTCGTCGTATTCTTGCTTGGAAATCCACATCTGTTGGAAGGTGGACAGCGAGGCCAAGATTGATCCTCCAATCCATACAGAGTATTTACGCTCAGGAGGAGCAATGATCTTGATCTTCATTGTGGGTGGAGCCAGAGCAGCAATTTCTTTCTGCATTCTGTCAGCGATTCCTGGGAACATGGTGGAGCCACCAGACAACACTGTGTTGGCGTACAGGTCCTTACGGATGTCCACGTCGCACTTCATGATGGAGTTGTATGTGGTCTCATGGATGCCTGCAGATTCCATTCCAAGGAAAGAGGGCTGGAACATGGCCTCAGGGCATCTGAAGCGCTCATTGCCAATGGTGATGACCTGACCATCAGGAAGTTCATAGCTCTTCTCCAAGCTGGAGCTCGAGGCAGCAGTCTGCATTTCTTGTTCAAAGTCGAGGGCAACATAGCAGAGTTTTTCTTTGATGTCACGCACGATCTCACGTTCAGCTGTGGTGGTGAAGGAGTAGCCTCGCTCAGTCAGAATCTTCATGAGGTAGTCAGTCAAGTCCCTGCCGGCCAAGTCAAGACGAAGGATGGCATGAGGAAGAGCATAACCCTCATAGATGGGAACAGTGTGACTGACACCATCACCACTGTCAAAGACGATTCCAGTTGTACGGCCAGAGGCGTACAGGGACAGCACGGCTTGGATGGCAACGTACATGGCTGGTGAATTGAAGGTCTCAAACATGATCTAGTGGAAAAAAAAAGAAGCATGTCAATAAATTGAATCAAAACTGGTCGCCATATCAATGCGTCACACCCTTTGATTGCGTGACAGTCTGTCTTAAATTTGCTTATGAGGGGTAAAATTAAAACAAGTACGAATACAGTTTTCGATTGCTTGCTAAATCCTCTCTCTCGCTTCCCTTATGCTATTTCTTGAAAAACGTACAGAAACTTTCAGCTCCGTCAAACAGCACGTACTGTTTTCATTCAATATATAGAATTAATTACCGGTATACACGAGAAGACGCGGTTTGAAATGACATGATTCAACCAAAGAGACATTTCATATTTTAGGATTTATTAAATACGTCTGCACGAAAAATTTATGCAGCAAGATTTGGCCATCACTTTGTAAACCACGGCTACGATTACTTGCCCTTGCAGTCTACTGTGATCAAAAACAATAACAATTAAGAAACTCGCGATTTAAATTATTGAACTGTGTTGTACTTAAACAAACAATACTAGCTCATTGTACGGTTCGAATCCGAGCTAAGTATGCCTTATCCCTGACCTGACCAATCACAGAGCAACATTACCTTATAAGGCAAAAGAACAACTCCGTTCAGGTAGTCAGGTTCAAAAATAACAAAATATATTTGACTTGCAAAACGAATCGGCTTGTGTACGCTAAACTTGAGCAATATAGTGGGCGGATTCCTCTTTATGACTAAGAATTTTCAGATACGCTTTCGTTACTTCGCAAACGCTAAATTTTTCTACCGGCGTAGAGTTGCAACATTTTAAGATTCTAGCACAGCCTCGCCCATCTTATGCAACGCCTACCGGAAATCGTGTTTTCGATACTGGGTCCGCCGGATATGCAAGTATTCCTCTTTCGAGTATTCCAAGACGAGCAGCCCTTATTGAAATTTTGTTCAAGCAAGCGTGAAATACGAAGCTTATTATCATAAGGGTGCTGGGTGTGTTTGGAGCGAAAGTTTAAATCAGCTTTTGTAAGATGCGAGCTCAAAGTTCGATTCGAGGCCCCGTTTATTTAACTCACAAATATCTAAATCGAAAGGTAAACGGCCACCAACTGAGAAAATTGAAAACAGAAAAATATTCAGAAGACTACAACCGTAGCAATAAGTTGTCACGTCTACAGAAAGAACGAACTTTACCTGTGTCATCTTTTCTCTGTTAGCTTTGGGGTTGAGTGGAGCCTCGGTTAACAGAACTGGGTGTTCCTCGGGAGCTACACGGAGCTCGTTGTAGAAGGTGTGATGCCAGATCTGAAATGTAAAACGGTATTCTTAGTAAATCAATTGCTCAAAACTTTGCACGGAAAGCGTTTAAAACTCACCTTCTCCATGTCATCCCAGTTGGTGACGATGCCGTGTTCGATGGGGTATTTCAGAGTAAGAATACCTCGCTTGCTCTGAGCTTCATCGCCGACGTACGAGTCTTTCTGACCCATACCGACCATCACGCCCTGATGTCTTGGACGACCAACGATGGAGGGAAAAACTGCACGAGGAGCATCGTCTCCGGCAAAACCGGCCTTGCACATACCGGAGCCATTGTCGACAACCAATGCAGCAACATCTTCATCGGCCATGTTGAAATTTTAGGTTTTCGAATATGAAGCAATTCAAAATTACAAGCTTACTGCAACTGCTAGCCCAACTAATAGAGTGACAACGCTGGGCTGTGACACTGTTTATATAAGCAAGCCGATTCGTGCAAGCAGCTGATTGGCTGAAATTTGTAAGCCCTTTCACACCCCCGGCCTGGTGATGTTTACACAGGAAGGTTTTGCGGAAAGCGAAATATTTGCATCTGCATCGCAAGTCTCGGTAAATTTGTAGCTTTTAACAATGAAACTGACTACCTTCCGACCATGACGCGCAGAATTTTGACACTTCTTGGTGAGATATAAGGGTTTCTATAGGTGTTGGGCTTTTTAATGTAGCCTGAAGCAAGACGAAATTTATTACCTTATATGGAATATTTCGAGCTGTTTCCGCACAAACGTTACGCACGTGCATTCCTGTGGATTCATGATGGATGTTACGCATTATAGACAAAACAGTTTATTCTCCGTAATGTTCTTTAGTCTACAGCTTGCTGGTCAAAATCTTTTGCGAGCGCTTTCGTATCGTTCAGCAAAGCTTAAAGCTGCTCTTCGATACATACGCGACTTCTCCTGATACTAACAATACAATGCTAAGCGGATACGTGATGAGAAAATAGGAAGACATCGACAGACAACAAAGAATTGATGTAGTGCCAAATTCTCAGCAGGAACATTTAAAGAAATGTCTGGAAACCACTGACGCGTTAAAGGTGATTAATTAGTATTATGTAATAATTTTTGCATATAAGGAGTTGATTGTAAAAACTAAATGTCGGTTTGCACAGTATCATGTATCTAGCGACAGATCAAAGTCAGGAGGTTCTGGGTCATGAATTCAGAGCAAAAGAATTTCCGTTCCCGAGAATAAAACCGTTTGTTACTGGTCGTATTTATTATTACTCTAACGCATTAAATCCATCACAGATATATAATACCGCAAGAAAAATACGGGAAATGGCCGTATATTATATTATTCTTGGAGCGTACTAATCGGATAACACGTATGCCTTGAAATTTTCCGTATTCGTCTGACGTAAAGGGTATCTCAAATATTTTGTACGCCTCAAAGGAATAGGCCAGTTTCGATATATAAAATTTCCAACTTAACCCCGAGGCTCTATAGGAGATAAAAGCAAAATAGCGTGCGTAGCGAGCGTTCCTGTACGAAAGGAGTCTTTCGCATTCGAGCCGCGCGAAAAATGGGAAGGAGCAAAAAGGTGGAAGGAGAGGGGTGGGGGAGCGAAGGGAACTCCCTCCCCTCCCCTACCCCCTCCTTCCACCTTCTTACTTCTTCCCATTTTTCGCGCGGCCCGAATGCGAAAAACTCCTTCGCGCAGCCCACGTTCGCCTCGTACGGGAACGCTTGCTACGCAGGCTAAAAGCAAACCAGAACATTCATTCATCCCGCAGCCTCGATGTGACTCCCAAGCCTCGGTGCCGAGCAAGAGCCGGCCAAGTTGGAATCTTAATCATCGGAATTGGCGTCTTGTACTCCCTCTCAGCTAAATTAAATGCAGCTATTAAAGCTATGTTTGAGTCGGGGGATCTTGCCCTGTAAATTATCGAGCCCCAAATATTTCACCAAAGATAATAACGTTTTCAAAAGTGAGTATTTAAAAGTCCATTTAAGGAAATCATGATCTCAAATTATTTTACCAAGAAGTTTTTTAATGCAATTTTCATTGTTATTGTTTTTTTCTGGAACAGTCAGGATCGCGAGTGAAATTTCCTTTTAGAGTTAACATGCCACTAGAATGACGATTAGTTTACGAAACAAAGAATTTAAACACATAAATACTGAACTAATTTAACAACAAGTGATGGATGAATAAATGTATATATAAAAACATATAAATAAGTAAATAAAAAAACGAAGTCAAACTTGCTTTTTACAATTACTGTCTAATTTCTCGCGCGCTGACTGGCTCATTTTTATCATCAATAATAATACAGACAGATAAAATTTTACTTTATGCAAACTTTAAGTTTAACTTGGACTTTTTTAAGTAGCCAATCCAAAAGCGGGAAAAGCTATTGACAATGTTGCGTCATTTTGAATACAATTCACTTATCCTTGTTTACGGCAAGTTTACGGCGTCTTTTCCCCTCATTCATTCCCGGCATTTGACCAGTTTTGGGTATTGTAAAAAAAAATTGACGTCAGTTTTTTATGTGTCTATCTTCTTATTGATGATAAATTTCGTCATAACATTATCAAAGTTTACTGCGGAACCACTTGCCGGCGGCTCGTGGTTCCACAGCCACTTTGACAATGTTATGACGCACTTATCATCAATAAGAGGACAGACGTATAAAAAAGTGACGTCAATTTGTTAAGTTGTCATGCCGTTAACATACAAAACTAAATAATGACAACGCGAGCACGCAGTCAGAACGGAAAAACGTAATAAGCATGCGCAAGTTTTGGCTTCGCGGGTCGGCCAGACAGAAGTTTGATAAAATGGCGGGAATTTCATCGCTCGTGTAAACAGCAGCGGTAAGCAGCAGCATTTTAACGCCACTAATGGAAAGCTGGTGTATTGTTTTCGTGGGGGATCATTTTGTTTTTCGCACCGTAAATTAGCCTAAAGATGTAACCCGAAACCTTTATTTCCCGGCGAAATACGAGAAATTTCGGTGCGAAGACACATTTCGAGGTCTGAAAATAAAAAAAATGCAGGGTATAGGACGCCTGAGCGCCCTGCTCCTCTTAGCCAGCGGGGCTCTGGCGGACACAAGATTACCAGATCAGACTCAATCGTTTACTAATGAGACTCCTGGTCCAGTTATCCGACCCCTACCCCCGGACACTTGTGGGGCATTTGTCATCTTTTGAAGAAATGTTGCAAATGTCCCCGGTGCGGCTAGCATCCTTGAACAAGACCCCACGTTGGAGCTTCGGAAAGACTGCAAATGCCCGACCCATAGTCACATTGGGTGGCAGGGACTGGGAATGAGTCCTATGACGTCACGGGTGTCATTAGTGTCTTCATGTCTCCAACCAATCCCTTGCGTTGAACCCCAGTTCACTACAGGATGTAAACACTTTCTTTAGTTCCAATAAATTAATTTGCATATCCGCTCTGTTCCGTCTAGATCGTCTCGCTATCACACGGCATGTGAAGTTTTCTCCTGATTCAATTCAACTGGTTAGCTATTAGAGGCTGGTCATGATGTAAAGGACACATCAGGCTGAAATCGTCTGATGCTTAAGGTATAGCCATAGACGCAGTTATGTTATATAAATCCATCTTGTTCTAATCTGGCGACAGTTGCAAAAGACCACAAAACGGGCTTGTGACATAAATACTATTAAGATTTATAACCTTTGCTGTAGTAAACATTCTTACAAGTCTGTAATTTTAGTCTACTAGGCCGCAAATTCTATTAAAGCATCCCAATATTTCATATACTGTGGCTAAAAATCTTTGTAGCTCTGAACCTGAGCAAAATTTTTCTCTATCAGAACTTTACAGTATTTTCTCCCTCGGAATAACCACTGGACGATTTATTGGGATAACATCGACCCACTTTGCTTCGATATGTGCTGAACTGAGCTCGCTTATGTTCTCGTTAATGTATCTATTCTGCATGCAGACTTGAGAAAGATTAAAGGTTAGGAACGCCAGAATCCTAGTGATAAGCACAAAGCGAAACTGAAACCCATTGGCGCCAGTCGCGTCAATTTGATGCATGGAAATTTGGGGAAACGTTGATTGGCGCGTCTTAGGATATTGCAAGAGCTTACTTAGATTGATTGGCTCCTGGAAGGTTATAGGAAGAAAGAGAGTATTATAAAATCGAGCGACGCGCAAATTTCTGTGGCTTTAACAACAGTACAAACAGGAAGTTACATGTAGTATAACTTATTTTTTTCTGCTAATTTTAGTTTGTCTTGCGGCAGTCTCGTGATCATCTAGGGCCGATCAACAACAGTCAAGGTCAGCCTTTTGCAGTTTGTTTTGTCTAAGTTATCGGCTAGCTTTTAGCAGTTGGTCTCGCGATATTTTGAGTCATACCGGCTCTGAGAGTCAAGAGGTTCTCAGTACCTCTTAGCACAAGCTGGTTGGCAGCCAACATTTCATTCCCGAAGATGACTCCTTCCACCGGTGTTATGATATAGTTTTCCCACAAAATAAATCTCATCCCTAAAACGATGCGCCTATTCCAAGAACGAGAAAACTGATTTTCTCACAGGTAGCACAAGCTCAGTATGTGAGCGTCATAATATCGACATAATGTAAGGGTTCAACCCTAATTAATTATACAGAGCGTAGTTAATAATTAGACATTGCATGGAACATACTTCTGTCGCTGTTAAGTGTACGAAATGGACATTAAAATTTTCCTTTAAACTCACCTAAGTTGTTTTCTTGTCGTTTCTTACGATTTTACAGCGTTAAAGGCATCTTAAGACTTTTTGTGAGCAGGGTGGTTATCCCTCTAAGGGTGGAAAATAAAAGCCTTACTCCGTGGCTAAGCTGTAAAATCGAGATCATCTACGCTGTGTTTGCTTAAACTTCGTTTTTTGGGCATAATCCAAGATTGGATTCTTAAAATCTAAAAACAGATTCAGTTACGTTTATTTACTAAAATCACTCGCGCGGATCATGGTACAACAAGGGAACCGAAGTATCCACTCTGGGCAAGGACCCTTCTGTCAGATTGACCACCAGTCTGTCTGCAGAAAAATACTGTTAAGTTCAAAATATTAAAAAGCGCACAGCTTGTTATCGATCAGTTCAATCCTTTTATTATGATATTGGTCCAGGATCAAAACGGGCAAACTGAAATTTGCTCTTACTGATAATAAATGGGGCACTTGAACTGTACACGGGCTTTTATAAATTTTAACATTTTTCTACAACAATTCTTCGCTTCTGTTGGATGTCCTTTTGGTGTTAAAGAGTGTCTTTTTAGTTTTTCAGAATTGTGGTTAAAATAGCTAGTGATACTTTTTGTTGATTTATCCCATTAGATCACAGAACCGAGTTGTACAGTTTAAGTCTGCAACTGACCAAGTTCAACCCAGCTGAAAACATTTATTCTTAATTTCTTCCGTAGTTTTAAGCAGCACAAGCTTGGAAACCTAACCAGACTCCCATCATTCATGGCAAGGAGAGAAACCAATGGCACGACACCGCCTGTGGAAGGAACATTGGATTTTGAGGACGACACTTTAAGAGGTGGGTGAAAAAAAAAAATACATCGCAAAATCTAAAATATCAAACTACTACTAATGCCCTTTACTGTACTCATATAATTTGCAGAGCATAAACTAGATTTTACTTCTATCTGGGACAAACTACTGTCAATTTCTTCTTTTATATTTAAGGGTGTAATCTTTAGCAAACGTCTAAGTACTCTGAGATCAGGAACCCTATCATATTTCAAAGTAGGCGAAACATAGGCTTAAAGAGAAGGCAGAAGGTAGTCAACCTTAAGGGGGGTCCTTCGTGACTACAGATTTTATAGAGCAGTTGCTAAGAGATTGCTGAAGACGCTGTTTAAAGCAGAGCTATTTTGGGCCGTTTTGCAGTGCTAAATGGTGAATTTTATATGAGGGAACATTTGCTTTGAAAAAAAAATATGATTTCGCGTGCGTAAGTAGTGCCAGTCCCAAACTGGGCGTTTAGAATTTTAAATCCCTAAAACTTGGAAGAAAAGAGGAAGAGTTCCGATTTTTCTTATGAATTAGAAATAACTTAGCCTTCTTTGTAACCCCACGTATAGAATTACTGTTTACAGGTAAAGGAGGAAAGCTACTGTAGAACGTCTGTTAATACGGGTGTTTATTAATTACCTCATAACTTTTATGATAATGCAAGCTTCATAAAACCCATACGTAGCATTAAGCACCCGGACGTTCTTAATCTATTGACACTGATTTAAATTTTCGGATATAGATGGCTTTTAATTTTAGGGGTTTTATATTCTGGTCACATGACTGGCCAAATATGGTCGTGGTTTGAAACTTTTGCAGGAGTCTTCAATGGAACAAACCTGTGCAAAAAGCTTATCATGAGAAGGTCTGGTTTTCAAAATATGACGGTTAGAAACCTTCCATAGCAACAAATTCAAGACGAATTAGTAGTTAAGAAGGACCCCCCTCAAAAAAGTATTTATAAAATATTTTACAAAACTCTCAAAGCGAAGTTGCCATTTCTTGTTTCAGCGATAGCAGAGGTGTACAACGATGACGGCAATGATGAATTCAAAAAGAAGGAATTCAATAACGCCTTACACTTCTACACGGAGGGAATTAAAGTGAACTGCAACGATAAGGAACTGATCGCAAAGCTGTACAGTAACAGAGCAACAGCCCATTTCTATTTGGGTAAGATACAAAATTTCAGTTGATTTTACCATCAAGGTTTATATGTGCGTTTTTCATGAATCTGCTTTCGTCTCTATTAAAAGTACATTTCATACGGTCTACAGGAAATTTTCACGACACACTGAATGACGTAAAAGCTGCCAATGAGTTGCAACCTTCCTACATCAAACCCATAGAGAGAGGTGAGGTTTGTTGGGAAGTCAAAAGGTGTCTAATTGCTCCTAACCAAACCTTTTTAAAAAATATCTTGCGAATCCCGGGGTCGTTTCAAAAAATTTCTAGTCCAGGAAAGTTTTGTTTCAATTTTGTTGCACAACATTTTTTAATTCTAAAATTTACTTTGGAAGTATTTAAAAGATCTGGTCCATTTATTAATTGATTTTTTGATTGCTTGCTTGATTGATTAATTGGTTGGTTGATTGACTGATTGATTGATTAACGGACGTACTGACTGACTGACTGACCGACTGATTGATTGATTGATTGATTGATTGA